TCAAACATGACCAAACTGATCACAATACCTGTCGTAACGTCAAACAGTACCAAACTGATCACAAACCCTGTCGTAACGTGTTGTAACGTCAAACAGTACCAAACTGATAACACAATACCTGTCGTAACGTGTCGTAATGTCAAACATTACCAAACTGATCACAATACCTGTCGTAACGTCAAACAATACCAAACTGATCACAATACCTGTCGTAACGTCAAACATGACCAAACTGATCACAATACCTGTCGTAACGTAAAACAGTACCAAACTGATCACAATACCTGTCGTAACGTCAAACAGTATCAAACTGATCACAATACCTGTCGTAACGTCAAACAGTACCAAACTGATCACAATACCTGTCGTAACGTCAAACATGACCAAACTGATCACAATACCTGTCGTAACGTTAAACAATACCAAACTGATCACAATACCTGTCGTAACGTCAAACCAAACCAAACTGATCACAATACCTGTCGTAACGTCAAACAGTACCAAACTAATCGCACTACCTGTCGTAAATTCAAAACGAACCAAACTGATCGCAATACCTGTCGTACCTGTCGTAACGTCAAACCGAACCAAACTGATCGCACTCTCAATTTTAGCTTTAAACTGAAGTATGCAGTATATCAGAGAAGTGGCAAGCAAAACGTCACTGAAGTACACATTGATATAAGCACCTGTTCATGTAAAGACCTGTTGTTGTAGTACAATGTAATGGTCTTGGTTTGTCGACCACTCACTAACGGTATTTTGGAAGCCCTCCTGTCAATGGAAGGGTATCTGACTTACGTGTTACCCACACTATTGGAGCAGTGCGCTACTCCTCGATCTCTGCAGGTGGAAACAAAGTGATTGTAAAAATGCTTGTTTGTGGATAAGTGGGATTTTCATACAAATAAAAAGAAAAATCATCAAATCCGATCATTTAAGACCCTGTTAAGAGCGTGCCAAGGATACAAGGATGCCAGGAGTTAAAGAACCTTTTATCACTAATATTGCATACTTTTCCCCTTTTTCGTTATTTATAGAATCGTACAATTGACCAGTACAAACTATATAGGCAGAGATATTGATATAGTCGTACTGTTGACCAATACAAACTATATAGGCAGAGTTGTTGATATTATCCTACTATTGACCAGTACAAACCATATAAGCGAACTTTTTTTTGTAGATTCGTGGTACTGTTAATCAGTACAAACTATATCAGCAGAGATATTGATAGAATCGTAGTACTGACCAGTACAAACTATATAGGCAGAGATATTGATAGAATCGCAGCACTGACCAGTACAAACCATATCAGCAGAGATATTGATAGAATCGTACTATTGACCAATACAAACTATATAGGCAGAGATATTGATAGAATCGTAGTACTGACCAGTACAAACTATATAGGCAGAGTTTTTGCATCTGTGTCCACATTTTAGAAATTGTATTATCATGCCTCATCTTTATAACAGCGTGTATGATTGGATTATATTGATCACATGACTGGGAAATAAAACATCGTGTTCCCTTCACGTGCTAGAGTTTTCCGAGTCACATATCCCTCATTTGGGTCCCGAGTAACTGAAGCAGACGACAACAATGGCTCTTCAATTTTTTTTATTTTTCTATTTTGGTATAATGAATTATGTATTGCCCTTGATTCGTCCTCGCTAAATATTATTAATATTTCTTAGAAAACATGGGATAGTGTGTTCTTACCAAAAGAGAAATAAATGTATTACGTCGCCATCATACAATGCTGTCTTATTGTAAACGTGAGTGTTCATAAAGAGTAAAGGTTTGTTTACTAATTTGTTGAAGCTCATGAAGAACCTGGATCATGCGGAGCAGGGACGCTTATCGTTCTTGATCATCTGGTGTGGTTTTTTCCTTTTGCAGGTTTTGGGAAGATGAATGATATGTTTCTTATGTTTTCGTGTTTCTTACGTTCCTTTTGTTGTTTTTTGTATTACTTTGCGTTTCACTTTAGACATTGGTTGATGATGTAGTATATTGTGTTCGTAAATTTTAACGATATTATTTACTTTGGCTAATGATGATGTGGTATGTTTTATTCTTATAAGTTGATAATATGATATAATTTGGCGACATATGAAAGATATATTTTAAATGTTGACGATATGATACGCTTTGGCTAGTGATGATATTTTGTGCTTAAATGTAGCGTCAGACCCTAAGTTTAGTAACAAATTTTAAAACTTCCGTTGTAGACCCCAGGTTCACCCACGTAATGTACACTTCCGTTGTAGACCCCAGGTTCACCCACGTAATGTACACTTCCGTTGTAGACCCCAGGTTCACCCACGTAATGTACACTTCCGTTGTAGACCCCAGGTTCACCCACGTAATGTACACTTC